TGAAACATAGGTAGTTAAACAAGGACCCAGTTAATGGACAGAACCTATGGTTATCCTCACCTGAGCAACTGAAGTGTCAAGAGGACTGATCAGCTCTGGGCCATTGTAAGTCTGACTCCCTAGAGGCTCCCAAGTCCCCCAAGCTTGCCCTCAGCTAGTCAAATAGGGTGGGTTGTCTCTATTCCGTAGTGGCCCTATCTTTATAGTCAGTCAACATCTGCCATATGATGAGAAAGGCTGGCAGTGAAGTCCAGGCATACAGTTTCTCTGTTCTCTCTGCTTACACTCCTGATTTTATTTTTATTTTTTTTGAGGTAAGGTTTTTTGGTTTGGGGGGTTTTTTGTTTGTTTGTTTGTTTTGGTTTGGTTTGGTTTTGGTCTTTGAGACAGGGTCTCACTATGTAGTTGAGACTGACCTGGAACTCACCAGGCTGGTCTTGAACTCACAGCAATCCACCTGCCTCAGCCACTGAGTGCTGGGATTACAGGCATGCACCACCATGCCCGCCTAGAGGTAAATTTTACATAACATAAAATTTACCATTTTAAAGTGATCAATTTAGTGGCATTCAGCATATTCACAATATTGCACACCTCCCACTTCTGTCTAATTTCAAAGTGTTTTCATCACCCCTAAAGGAAACCCTGTGCCCATTAGCAGCACTCTCACTCCCTTTCTCCAATTCCTGCCACTACCAACCTATATTCTGTGTAGATTTACTAGATTGGACATTTTAAACAACATAATCATACAATGTGTGATCTCTGTTGTTTGGCTTCTATCGCCTCACATAATGTTTCAAGCTTCATCCACATAGCGTGCATCAATATGTTATTTCTTTTTATACTTATTACAACTTGTTGTTGTATTAAAAACATAAATTATAAGGAGAGAAGGTTTATTTTGGCTCATTATTTCAGTGGTTGTAGTGCATATTCACTTGGCCCTGTTGCTTTGTGCCTGTGGCAACACAGTACATAATGGCAGAGAGCATATGCCGGAGAAAGCTTATGTTGTGGCTTGTACATAAACATCCCCCCCCCGAAGCCTCAAGTTCTTGTAGGTGGGCTTTTCAGAAGCGGCTGGATCTAGGATGTGTAAATATGGATTATGAATGTGTGATAACTGGATTAATCCATTGATAGGATAAATGTAGTTCTGGGTAAGAATACATGGATTTACTAAAGACAGAAAACCCACCCTGGGTATGAGGTGCACCAACCAATAGGCTTATAGCCAGAATGAAATAAAGGTAAAGGGAGCATTGTTGTTGTTGTTGCTGCTGCTGCTGCTTCCTCTTTCCTGTCTACATGCCATGGACTGTTTCTCCTCTCTGACGTCCCTTTGCCGTGACACCCTGCCTTGGAGACAGCTGACTATGGAATGAATTCTCTACACTCTGTGAGCTAAAATATACCTTTCCCCCTTTAACTTGTGGGTGTTGATTATTTTGTTCCAATAATGAGGAAGTAACTAAGACAGACTACTCTCCTAATGGTGGCTAGGAAGTAAAAAGAGAGAAAGGAAGGACCAGAACCTCCACAAGGCCCTTCAAGGGCATTCTCTCAATGAACTAACTTCATTCCCATAGGCCCCTCCTTCCAATGGCTCTACCACATCCCAAAAGCACCACAGGCTGGTGACCAAACCTTCAGCAATAGGCCTTTAGGGGGACATTTAAGATACAAGCTAAAATAATACTGTATCCCAATTTTGTATCCACTCACTCATTGATGTGCATTTGGGCTTTTTCTACCTTCCACTATTATGAATAGTGAGTGCCATGGACCTGTGTGTGCCTGTATGGTTTCAGCACCTGATTTCAGTTCTGTTAGAATATCACTAAGAGTGGGACTGCTGAGTTACGTGGCCCTTCCAGGGAACTGCCCAACCCTTTCGCACAGTGTCTGAACTATTCAGTGTACAAGGGTTCCAATTTCTCTACATCCTGAGTAACATTTGTTATTTTGTTTTATTAAAGTATTCTAGTGGGCATAAATTATCATTTTATTATGGTTTTAACTATCTTTTCCTTAATGAGATTCTTTTTCATGTGCTCATTGGACATTTATATGACTTCTTTAATCCTCTATAGTCCTTTGCCCATTTTTAAACTAGGGTTTTGTTCACTTGTAAGAGCAGCTCCTTATATATTTTGGATACTAGAACCTTATTAGATATAAGATTTGCAAATGTTTTCTCCTGTTATATAGGTTGTCTTTTTGCTCTCTTTATAATATCCTTTAATGTGAAGGAATTTTTAACTTTTATGAAGTTCAATTTAATTATTTTCTTGTGTTTTATGTTTCTGGTGTTACATCTAAGAATCAATTGCCAGATCCAAAGTCATGAAGATTTTCCCCTATATTTTCTTCTAAGAACTTTATAGTTTTAACTATTATATTTTGGTGGTTGATGCATTTTTGTCTTATTTTTGATATGATGTGAAGAAGGGTCCAACTTCATTCTTTGGCCCGTGGAAATCCAGCTGTCCCAGCACCATTTGTTGAAGAGACTATTCTGTCTTCCACCGAATGATCTTGGCAGCCTTTTGAAATAGCTGTAGATGTACGGAATTGAAATTAACAGTCTCTCCAGGTTCCTACCTCCATGGTTTCTCCTCCTAGGCCTTAGAGCACTCTCTAAACTGAGTCTTAAAGCAAGAGGCCAGAGGCTCCTGTACATTTCGCAGGCCTTAAATAAACCCAGTCAGCAAAAGCTTTGTCTATTTCCTAGGCAGCAAAACTGCAGGAAGGGAGGCAGCCCTCTGCCCTCCTCACAACCCCAGCAGAGGACAGAAGGTGTTGCATCCACTCAGCTCTTGGGAACAGCTCCTGGGAAAAGCCCTGGGTCTCACAGCCCACCAGCACCAGGGCAGCCATCAGTAATGCTTGCACCACAGCTTCAGAGGAGGTGATTTTACCGATGGCTCTTGTATTCCTCTAAAAGCTGTTTAAGAGTGTGGGCCCCCTTCACTACCAAGCTGAAATCCCTCTTACTGGCGCATTCTTGGGGAATTTGTTATTTTGCAAAGGCAGATCAGTAGTGCTGCAAGGGCCCTGGGGGTACCTGGTTCTAGGACCCATAGCTTTCAGCAGATCCCCAAAGGATCCCTGATCCACAGAGTTAAGAACTCCTTGACTATACCAGGTGACTGGGTAGTGGCAGAGTCAGAATGATGATCCCTAATTCCTAGAGCAGTAGTCCAGCATCTACAGAGATGACAGCAGCAATATCAGAAGGAGTCATTTGGACAGAAAGCCCACCAGATGCCTTGGCTATGTGTTCCTCAAAGTTTATTGAATCAGGACACACACAGAAGAGAACTTCTTAATATGTGAAAGGGACAATGAAGTGAAGGCCACGCCCTTCCAAGGCCCCATCCTGTTGTCCTGAGACCCACAGGGGCAAATATCTTGAGCACACTTGAAACACAAGACTGATTGGAAAGCTGCCATTCTGCCAACAGCAGAATCCAACAGCTTTGGAATTCCATCCAGCCCCACTACTGGCTTCGAAAAATTGGGGACTTCCCACCCCTCATAAATAAGCACACAATACCTGTGCCCCTGCCAACTGTGGTAGCATGATTCAATTTCTCCCTCCAGGAATCTAGGCGCCCTTCTTTCTGATTATTTGCTTATCTTTCTTTTTCCAGGAAGCCACCCTTACTGAGCTCCATCATTGCAGCCACTTCTCAGCATAAGTACAGGGCTTTGAGTGTGAATCTGTCTTTCTGCAGCCTGGGGTCACCTCCTGAGCAGCCTCCTTGGAGAAAGCCTATAAGGCTGTGCACATCGCAGTATTGGGGTAGGGAGATATCGTCACTAGAGGTTGGAACATTTGCAGAGACTGACAGCAATGCGTATCCAATGCCACTCAAGAGCAGTTTATTCAATGTAAAACAGATATTCAGAGTCCTTAATTCAGCGGTGGGGGTTACTAGATGATGCTATTCTCAGGAATATTTACCCTGAGAGCCATGACGTGTGGCTGGGTGACACCACTCAGAGGTAAGATTAAATCTGCTCACTGGACTCAACTTGTGGGTAATAGGAACTAAGAGTCAGAAACTACTGTAAGACACAGCCCCAGAGAGAATACCAAAGATCAATCGCATTCCACAGTCCTGATAAAATGTTATGATGCTGCCTTCATAAAGAGCCATGAATTTGATGTTCTCTCTATGAAAGAGGCAATGTCATGCTGTGGAAAGAGCATGGTTCCCCCGAGTCAGCCAGGCCTGAGCAGAAACAAAGATGGATGGCCTCTGCAGCTGTCAGAGAATTAGGCTCCCTGGCTGTCCCAAGGGTGATGAGCGCACCTTCCTTGCAGCATTGGATGAGAATTAGAGGCAACATGTATAGGGTGCCTGGTGCATAGGTGCTTGCTTATGAAAAGCAGGTATGAATGACAAAAAAAGGATGGCTGGATGACCCAAGATGGCAGAAAATGCCCAATTTTCCTTTGCTTGCTTTGTGAATAGGGTGTCTGGTGGTCTGAGAATGTACACATGCTCTCCATAATGAATTCACCCTGGTGGGACAGAGAAAGGCTGCTCTAATACCTTTTGGTTACACAGCACCAGATTCACCCAACCATGTTTGCAGGGGCAGTAAAACCTCCAATGATTGAAAACTTGACCCATACACACAGAACAAACCTATCCCTCCCTCTGTCCCCTCCTTCTCTCTCGCTAGGCATGATCACAGCTTCCCAAGGGCAAGAGGTGATTGTGGCGTGTGTTTCCAAAGCCTCCTGCCAGCTGAAGGCAGCATGAAAAACAACAAGTCATAAAGTCCACACAGGGCCCATTGACACAGAGAGGGTGACCCTGTCAATCCGAGCTTGAATGTAAGACATGCCATGGTGTGGATAGTGAAGTGTACTATGACCAGTCCTAAAATTCAGCGATAGAGGACTTGGGAGTTGCAGGCATCTTTGGGCAGTAGCTAAGACATCCCTTCTTCCAGGTGCTGAGGTGAGTGGGGAAGTGGCTTTAGCAGGTGGTCTTCCTGGCTGGGGCACTGCCTGGGGCACTCTTGTCCTGAGAGTCCCTGAGGTCTCCAGCTTGTGCCCCTTGGGTCTTGGTCTGGCCACTTCGGGAGCTGCCAAGGTTGATGGCTGCACTGCTGACCCCAAGGTCAGGGCTCACCGAGCTGGGGTGGTAGCCATAGCCACTGCTGCTGATGATGGCTGAGGAGGAAGGGTAAGAGCAGGGGAGGGAAAGGGAGGTATCAACCAAAGATGACCAAAATCATGGTAACTGCTGTCTCTGAGAACACCCTAACTAATCCCATGACAGCACTCAGCAGCCAAGACACTCGACAAACATAGCAGAGACCCTGTGGCGCGCCAGACCATTTGCGAGGGGAGGACTGTCGGGTAGACATGGTCCCTGCCCTCCTGGACATCTAGAAAAGTCCCTATTTGCAACCTTTTTCTAGATGACAGCGCCCCAGGGGAGAGACAACAAGGAGAAGGGTGGGTATAGTTTCAGTCGCTGTTGCCAGGGGATGAAAGGGGAAGAGCCAGAGAAACTTCACAAAGCAGCAACAGAAACTCCGGGTGAGGTGAGACAAGGAGTGAAGGCAGCTGCGCCGTGTCCCAGGGCCCCGGCTTTCCCAATGCAAACCATCTGAGGATACTCACAGATGCTCACAGAGGACGGATTCTCACCAGACATCCTGCAAGAAAGGAAACGACAGGACGTGTCTGGATTCAACTAACCTTCAAGGGCTCTGACTTTGGCGTACCTCATTTTAAATTTGTCCTCACAGCACAAGGCGGAGATTGGAGCTGCCACGTTACAGATGAAAAAATAGAGACAATACATATTTTACCAGGACCATGCAGCTACCATGTGGCAAACCCAGTAATTAAACCCGGGTCTCCATGGGCTCTGTTGATGGCACCAGCTCACATCTGACATCCCTCGCAGGAAGCCGCAGCTGAGTTCACCTGTCACACCACTGTCTCCCTCCCTCGTGGTATCACCAGCACTGTTGCTTCTCCTCTTCCAGCTCCCGGTGGCTCTTTGGCTGCATACACAGCCCCTTCTCCCTGAGCAACACAGTGCCCTCTCGGACCCTCACCTGCACTCCTCGCCCTCCAGCAGCTTGCGGTAGGTGGCGATCTCCATGTCCAGGGCCAGCTTCAGGCTCATGAGCTCCTGGTACTCCTGCATCATCCGGGCCAGCTCCTCCTTGGCCTGGTGCAGGGCACCTTCGAGCTCATCTAGCTTGGCCTGGGCATCCTTTAGGGCACTGTCTCCTCGTTCCTCAGCATCGGAAATGGCTGTCTCCAGGTTGGAGCACTAAGGGGCAGAGAGCAGTGAGGTAAAATATCAAACAATGTTCAGGTTCAGTAGCGTAGCTCCCTCACTCTACAGATGAGAACCAAGATGTCTGCAAGAGCTGCAAAGCTAACACCAGAACCCAAGACTCCTCTGTGTTCCATTGCAGGTGAACTTTTTAAAAAGGTGACAGTGGAAACCATGGGAATACTTGTATTTAAGGAGGTCAGGAAAAAAACCTTCAATGTTTGCAAAGCTCTCTAGTGCCTGGGGTTGGGGGGCCACAGATGGTAATGAGTTCAAGTACATCAAATTCAGGAGAACTGTGTCCAAGACTCCAGTCAGGCCACCCCTAAGGATCAAACAGCCTGCCAAGGGTCCCACAGTGGTGTATTTCTGCTGCAGGATATCTCTCCAGAGAGGCTTCCTCCTTGTTAGCACCAACAGAGAGTGTGTTTGGACTCCTCCAGCACACTGCAGGAGGATTGGACAACGTGCTCACATCTGGCCTAAAAGGGGGAGGGAGCCTTCCCCTTGAAAGCAGCTACTTGCAACTACAACCTCAGAAACTGTACAGTGATGAACACCCAGGTGCGCTGTGACGCGAAGTACTCCGAGGTGTGGGGAATGGTCCTCATGGAGTCTTATGCTGTCCCTGTGACCCACCCCCATGCTACTTGGGAGTTGTGGGACACAGGAAGGAGAACTGTCAATTTGGCAGTTATATCACTAGCAAGGTTGACCTGGTTCTTTGAGAGGTCCCAAGAAGGGTCCGTTAGAATATGAACTCATCTCCCCACTGAGGTGGTGCTGGATTTGATGCTTTCAGATAAAATATATATAAATGGAGTTGGTTCCTTAGCACAGGGCAGAGAAACCTAAGAGGTTCATCTGTTACCGTGGCACTCCATCATCAGGACTGTGCCATAGCATGAGGGCAAGGAATGACTGTGGAGGACCCTGACACCTGCCCCATGCACACACTCGTTCCATTCCCAGAAGGAGGAGTAGACATAAGGTCTGCTTTCCAAGTGGCCCATCTCAAGGGCTGTAGGCCACATTTATTAGACAGAGAGAAGGTCTGAGCAAGAGAACACAGGGTTCAAATCCTGACCCTGTTCATGACCATCTAGGGGCCCTAGGCAAATCACTTTCCCTCTCCTGCCCATGTGCCTTATCTGTAAACTGGGGAATCCAGAGAATAGGCTCAAGTCTTCCTAACTCTGATAGGGCAACAAGGCAGGGAGGGAAAGACACTCCTATGCCCAGGAGGGGAGACCTGCTTCTTCCCAAAAGGTGGGCCCCAGTGTCCCTATTACAGAAGAGGAAACTGGGTCTCGGCCTTCTCCATGAGGTCACTGCCCACCTGCTTCCTCACACTGATGATGTCACAGCGGATCCTCTGGATGAACCGGTTCAACTCTGACATCTCGTTCCTGGTGTGTTTGAGATCATCCCCATGGCGGCCAGCCGCTAGCTGCAGCTCCTGAATCTAGCAGAGGTGATAAGGTGGTAGTGAGGCAAGATAAGGAGGGGTCCTAAGCAGATGCTTCCACAGCTGGCGGAGCCAGGGGGACCACAGCAGGAAGTTCTGATCCCCTTCCAGCTCAGACCAAGTAGTCCACTGTGTTCTCTAAGCAGAATCTGTCTGCTCTCCCTTGTGTCTCAGCCCCTGGTCTGCAGTCTTTCCTGGGATGGGAAGAAAAAGTTGCAGGTCACATTTGTCAAGCACACCCCAGTGTGAGCAAAGATCTGATCCCCTCCTATTTACTTATCACATAGAGAGGCATCTTCTACAGGCCCATTTCTGTCCCACAGGTATGGGGATCCAGTAGTGACAAGATAGGTGAGATCCCTGCTCTCCTCATTTGCTTTCTCCTACAGCACTTTCTTGGTCATGGGAAGAGGGGAGGGAAGCCTAGGGTCTTGAGTACCCTCGGGGTGGAGGGTGGGATTGGTAGGATTGGTGGCTTCTCCCTTCCATGTGTTTAGTCCTTCGGGAAAGAGGAAATGGTGTGGCAATGGGCAGGGAACAAAGGACAAGAGGAAGCGTGAGAGTGAACTACCCACCACCCTGGCTGCTGGTATCTGGAATGGTATCTAGTCTGATCTGGAATGTTTCCCTAAGGCCTTGTGTGTCACAGGCTTGGTTTCCAGCTTGGTGCTGTTGGGAGGTTGTGAAATCTTTAAGAGGTCAGGCCTACTGGAGGAAAGTTAGGACATTTGGAGTGGGACCTTGAGGGGAACTACTGGGACTCTGCCTCTCCTCTTTCTCTCAGCTCCTGGCCTCCTTTACTATATACTTCTATCATGACGTATTGTGCCAGCTCAGGCCTGAAGCAACACTGCCAAGCAACCAGGGACTGAAGCCTCTGAAACTGTGAGCCAAAATAAATCTTTTTTCCTTCTAAGTTCATTTTCTCAGATATTTTAGAAAACACCTGGGATGGAAAGGTAACATAGGTGAGGTCTAATAAATGCAAAAAGGAAGGCTCAGCAGCCCTAGAGAATGCCTAGGTAAAGGATTCCATACCTGACAGTCCCCTAGAGGGTCTTACCCCAAAGCCTAACTCCATTGCTAAGAACACTCCTAGAATTCCACTCTTGGAAGTCTCTCCACATCCATCAGAAAAGAAGTCAGGGCTTCCCCTTTTGATCCCCACCTGATCCCAGTTCACTCATAGCTGTCCTGCTCTGTGCATGTTGTTCCTTCTCCCCCTGGGCAGCTTGCCTCCATTCCTGTAAGTGACTTGCTTTACAGTAGAAACACCGCATTTCTCGCCTCCCTCAGAGGATCACTTGTTTCTCTCTCTCTCTCTCTTCTGGATATGTCCATCCCACCATTTTTCTGATTTAACTTCAATAACACTCTCTGATGAGGAGTATTTTCACTCAGCACATCTACAGCAGTTTCTCTCACATTCACTGGTGGAGGTGGCCCATCCCAAGAAGGAAGGAGATTCAACCCATGCTCACCTTGGTCTGGTACAGGGCCTCAGCCTCAGTCTTGCTCTTCCGGGCGATGTCCTCATAGTGGGCACGGACCTCAGCGATGATGCTGTCCAGGTCCAGGTCCCGGTTATTGTCCATGGACAGGATGACAGAGGTGTCACTAGCATGAGTCTGGAGCTGGGTGATCTCCTGAGTGGAGAGATGAAGATGGTCAGGCCCAAGCCCCCCTGATTGGCCTTATTTGTCCTCTGGGCCAGGAATCCCTGGAAGAACGTGTCATCAGGATGCACACGGGCAAAGTAGGGGAGTGCACCCTGCAGATGCATCTCAGGCAGGCAGCAGGAGGTGCTCAGCAGGAGGAAGGCATTTCCTCCAGCTCCACAGAGCCCAAGAAGCTGTGCTTCAGTAGGAACTCACAGGGTCATTTTGTCCTGCCTGTGAGCAAACTTTCTATCATGACCTTGATTGATTATGCCTGTATGTGTCCTCTAAGGACAAGATCTAGTGTTTCCATGGTCAACTAGTGCTAGGATTTTCACTTTTCCAGCCAAACATCTTCCCCTATGTCGGCCACAAGTGCCTCCTGCTGGCACACCCCCATGCAATTCAGGTGAAGCCCTTGGATGGAAAAAGGCAAAAGGGTCAGGAATAGGAGGGTCCTCACCACATCGTACAGACACTTGAGGAACTTTATGTCTTTGTCCAGAGAGTCCACCTTGGCCTGAAGCTCCACCTTGGCCGTGTAGGCTACATCTGCATCCTGCCAAGAGGCACCAACCACCATTAGGCCCTCCTCCCATGAGCTGCCCTTCCCCTGCCACTACCCCTAAAGCCACTTTCCTTTCTGTTTTTGTCCACAGATAGAAGGATATTGATAAACAGTCATTCAACATCAATTTTTCTCTCAGACTCACTGAATCTTTGGGAATAGCAAAAGGAGAACAGGAACTTCCTATTTACCTGGAGAACACTAGCCCAGAGAGGTGCTGAGTTTCTTCATGTTACCCAGGAATGTGAGGTTTAATCAAGGTGTCCCAAGTCCCAGACCAGAATTCTCTCCTATTTGTCTCCATCCATTTCCTGGGTGTGTGTCCTTCCTCTCTAGCTCACCAGAGGCCAGGATTATGGTTCCATCACTTTCTGGCACCAAACCACACCCCAGGTAGCCTGGGCTAAAGCCCTGAGCAGAGTTGTTTAGGATGAAGAAGCTCTTCTCTCCTTACCTTCTTGAGCACCACAAATTCATTCTCTGCTGCTGTGCGCTGATTGATCTCTACTTCATATCTGTGGGTGGAGAGAGAATACAGCAAGAGGCTTCAGCCCCCTGGGTCAAGAAACCTCTGCCTGGTGGCTGGGAATGCACTGGGGCTGCAGAGTGCCCAACATGGTCCCTTTAGAGTGAGATCTGACAGCAGGAATCAGAAGTTCCTAGCTTACCTCAATGCAATCTACTCACTGCATCCTAGGAAAGTATCCACGTACCTATGGGACACCCCAAACCATCAAGTGAATGCTTAGTGGGTCAATGAGCAGAACTCCTATCCACTAGGTAGGGTGTTCTCATTAAGTAGGGTGAGCTTTCCCTCATAACTAGAGGAAATCTGAGCTCTGAACTCTTGAACTTGCTCCTGGCCCTCCTAAAATATGCCACAGAGATCGTGTTCATGACTAGTGATTCTTTGGTGGAGTGTGCTCACCTCTTCTTGTAGTCCTCCACCACATCCCTCATGCTCCTTAGTTCTGAATCCAGCTTCACCCTGTCACCAGACAGCATCTCCAGCTGCTTCCTCAGGCCACTGATGTGACCCTCATAAATGGGCTCCAAATTCTTCCTGCAGTTGTTCAGGTCCAGCTGCTGCAACAACTCCCATTTGGTCTGTAGCACCTGGTTCTGCTGCTCCAGGAAACGCACCTGAAACCCAAGTCAACAACCACCCGGAACCACATGGATGCCATCACGCCCCATGGACATGCAACACTGACTCCCAGGCTGTTATCTGGCTCAACTTCTGACACTCTGCCTTTGACATCGGCTGCCATCGAAACTTTGTACAAGTGCTCATGCTCGTGCTCCAAACTTCTAAAACCTCGCCAAGAGGCAGACTTCACAGATGCTCTCCTTTATGTCTCAGCTATATTTCTTCCTGTGCTGTGAGCCCATCCCTCAACATTGCTTCCTTCAATCAGTACTTCATGTTCTGTAGAGAGCCAGGGTTCCGCCCAGCTATCCTCCAGAAGCCTGTCACTTTTTTCTTAAGGTAGAGCTAACATCTACCCAATTTCCCAACCTGCTATGTAAAATACCCTGCAAGTACAACCCATTTATTTATTCCTTTGTTCTACTTATTTTGCAAATCTCTCTTCCTGCCTTAAGATGAAGGATCCCCTCTGGCAACCCAGCTGCAACCTGGTATCCACATTGACCGGCCCATGCTGAGGGGACAGGGAGATTACTCCTGTCCCACTGGATTGCCTTCTCCTCCTCCTAGAAACCCACCTTGTCGATGAAGGAAGCAAACTTGTCATTCAGAGCCTTGATCTGCTCCCGCTCTTGGGCACGCACTTTCTGGATCTCAGGATCCAGCTCCACATTGAGGGGAGCCAGAAGATTCTTGTTAATAGTGACCTGGTGGATGCCTCTAGGTGGGCACACAGATAGACACGCAGGTCCCAAGGTCATACCGCCAAACATGCTTCCAGCAAAGCCTCTGGCCTGGCTGCCTCCATAACCAGAGCCATGCTCAAAGCTGCGTCCTCTAGCCCAAACACCGCTGTCTGCCACATTGGAGGAAATAAGCCGATTCCCTCCAAGACTATAGAGGCTCTGGCTGCTGAAGCCAACCCTAGCCCCTTGGCCAGCAGTATGGTAAGAGGCCACACTCCCCACAGCCTTCCTTGGCACCACCGCAGAATGCACGCTGAAGTTGCCCTTGTTGCCATGGGAGTTGATGTTCACTTGCCAACTCATGGTGGTAAAATAGAACTCACAGAGCCAGAGAAATGCAGTTTCAAGGGCTGGAGAATGCAAGGCTGCAACAGTCAGAGTGCTGCCTCCTCGGAGTGCTGCCTCCTTTTATCCCTGCTGAGCCCAGAACACCAGAACAGGGCGTCTCTCAGTACATTATCTCCTTTCCCTGCTGAAGGGCCGCGGGCCAGGGACAATCTACACAGCAGAGATCTCCAAGCCCTTTGCAGCAATGAAGGTTTCCTGATAGCAAGTGGAATATGCTGCCTTCGCACACTGGAGTGGTCTAATTTGGAGTTTATCTGTGCTCCTAATTAGAGATCTGTCCTATTATCCACAGCAGAGATCTCCTTGCTTTATTTTTCCAATGCTGCCTCATTTTTTTACTTATCAGCAAGGAGCAAGGGAAATACCTACCTTTACCCAAAGAGGGCTCATCTGAACACCTCAGGCTTCTTCTCCAAAGAACTATCTCCCTGGTATCCAGCCTTGATGAGGCACTGGGGTGCTGATGCTAGAGAATACTTGGAAAGGAAATGATTCCTCCTAAAGGATGCACTCAAAGATCTAGATCCAGCAACAAAAGTCCAGGGGTCACTCTCTGGGTCATGCTAAGGAGCACAGCTGTCCAGCTGTGGAACAGACACCAGGCAGAGGTTAGAAAAGAGCACGAAGCATCTGCATGTCCCCCTACAGAGACATTGTCTGGGGCTGGCAGATATATTACCAAGAAGTCCTGGCTTGTGATGACCTTGAAGTTATTTATTTTTATTATTATTATTATTATTATTATTATTATTATTATTATTATTATTATTTTAGCACCAGGGATCGAATTCAGTACCTTGTGCTTGTGAGGAAGGCACGGTGCCACTGAGCTAAATCCCTGGCCCTTGACATTACCTTTTTAACAGCAAGAACTCTTTCAGGCAGCTGGCTTTTTTCCTCCACTTGGACTTTTCTCTCCAGGATAAAATTATCTGCCCCATCTTGGGAGGCCAGACAGGAACTGGACTTTAGCTCATCTCTATCTGTGCAGAACACCCCTGGCTGAAGTTAGTCAGCTACAGGAACCCCTAAGTTTCACTACTGGGATGAAATTTGTTTTGTAAAATTCCTCATCACTCCTGGGATCAGGAACTATCAAGTATTTCACAGCTCAGGGCTGACCAGCCTGTCATGTGCACAGGGCTGCCCCGGTTGACCGCAGGTGGCTCCCTTCTCCCTTCTTCAGACAGTGTACAGTCATGGGAGAGGCCTAGGGTGAAGCAGCTTTACAGAGCTTGGGCTGCAGGTAAAACACAGGCTTTGTGCTGGCCAAAGAGCATCTCGGGGGACGAAGGTTTCATAGGGAAACCAGAAGAAGCTGAGTCCACTGTGCCACGATCTGCCCCTCTCTTGGTTTAGAATATCCCTGGGTAGTAAGAAACTACAAAACACAAAGTAGAAATCAGCCTCAAACCAGACAGCATAATGATCCCAAATGGATACAACCAAAGTCATATCTACTTGGTTCGAAGACAGATAATGAAGATCATTTTTCCCTAGCCCTTTGGCCTTGTGCCTGTCCCTGGGCACAGGACAACAGTTAAGGGAATAGATTATTTAGATCAAGCTCCTTGATGGAGAAAGGAAGATGCTCAAAGGATTCTTAGCTGGCTCTAGAATGACAGGGACAAACTGCAGCACCTTAGAGCTGGTCAGGACCTAACACCCGTTCTCTGCTTTCCCTTACAAAATGAGCTTGGAGAAGAAACTTGACTCCTTCCACCCTCCTGGGCCACTAAGAAGGGAGCCTGCTTTTCCCTCCCTCCTAACCCAAAGCTAGCTAGTTACACAGCGGAGTTTACTGCTCTTCTCTGTTTTTTCCCATGCCCCTTGCCACACTCTTCACTTTCCTGACATGAACTGTAGGTTGGGGTTATGCATGAGGGTGGGAGTGGGGTACTGCTGTAATCTGGGGCTCTGGTCATGAGGGTGGAAGATATGGAGTGGGAGAGGATGTGGGGATAGTGAGACAGAAGGTTTGGGGTTAGTAGCAAGAGGAAGGGGCAACTCTAGTCACAGAGAGGGGATTTGCGTCCGAGAGAAGGCAGTGGGGAGTACTTCAGGCTCGTCCAGGACTTCAGATTTTAGGGCTACCACCTGGATAGTCCTGGGAACACCTGGATGGCTGATTACCTGAGCATCAGAGTCACATTGGGGAGAGTAGAGCACCACATTCCCCAGCCATTCCTAAGAATCGCGAAGTCACCTCTCTAATGCTCAAGTCGTTCCCTGGAGTCTCTCCATTTCCCCTTCTCCTCCTACTCCCTGGATTAACATCTGATCATTCAGAAAGCAAGTGGTTGGTGACATCCAATTTAAATTTAGTTCAACTCACACTTACTAAATGTCTACTCCTTGCAAGAACAGTGCTGAGCAACATCCCAGACAGGTGGCCACTACGGTCAAGGTGCCACTTTAGTGTGCAACATAACATTCAGTGAGCCTTTCTTTATGACAGTGTAACAGAGGGTGTCAGTATCCTGAGACCTGGCAGTTCCCCCTCACTGCTGATCTCCTGGAACTTTCTACAGCACTCCTGGGGTAAGCACAGGGGAGTCACCACTCTGGAAACACCATCTCCAAGTCAAGGGCCTGCCCTGCTCTCCTGACCAGCATCAGCACCTTCAGCCGCTTCTGTACAACCCAGCTCAGGACATCCCACTCTTCCTGTACAGCACCTTGGTTTCAATGAGGAAGAGATTCATATGAAGTCCTTTGCCAGGGTGCAAGACTGGATGGAACCCCACTTGCCTCTCGCCATATACTAGTGCTGGACACCATCACTGTGTACTTCCAAGGCCCCTGGCCAAATCCCAAGGACAGGCTTGTATTATATGGGGCAGTCAGAGCTTCCAGTCAGATACCTCCTGTTTCCCAAGAGGGTCACTAGCATTCTCCTGGCTCCCCTGAGCTCTCACCAATGTCCACACAACAGCCTGAGTTCCGTCTCCCAGGCCCCTGGTCTCCTTTCAGAGGGTCTGGAAGAAAATGAGATCCCCAGCTCGTAGCTCACCAATGTCCTGTCCACTGGGAACCCCACCTGCCCAGCCTTCCCCTGCCTTTGGGGTCTGTGAACTAACATCCATTTTCCCAGCCTGAGCGTCCATTGCCTTCAGCAAACCCTGGCCTGGTCCTCACCACACTCCCTGCTCATTTCTCTTTTTTCCTACTCATGCTCCTACTCCTGTGGTCCTTATGACTAGACAGGCCCCTGGCCTTTCCTGTAACCAAGCACTCTTCAATTCCCTTTGTTAAAAGAATTCCTCATTTTAAAAGAAAAGCTCTCTGAACCCTTTGCAACTCCACCCACCACAAACCCAGTCATCACAAGTTTCTGCCTCTCAGCTTGAGCACACTCAGGTATGTCTGGGCAAGCACTGTCTTGCTGGAGAAAGATGAGATTTCTTCTCTTCACCCATTTCAAAACACCACCACCAGCAGCAGCCCCCCCTCCACATCAGGTATTATTTCATTCATCTCCTTATTTCAGACCTCCCAACCCACCCCACTCCCATTCACACTGGAAAAATGTGCAAGGTATTTTCTGACCACCAACCTACTTTATTGTATGATTTCTTCTTGAAAGGGAACAGAGAGGTTGGAGGGAGGAGATGCCTTAATCTTTTGATCGTGACTGTGAAGTCTGATGCCTGATCTACCTCTTCCTCTGCCCCTTTGCAAAATAAACAGACTGGGCTGTGCAGCAGCCTATAATTAGGCCACACCATCACTAATGACATACTATCTATCTCCTATCATCCCTGCCCAAGGGGAAAGGAGAGGCCCAGCCCCATCTCAGCAGTGGGGAGACCCTGGAGTGGTGGGCCAGGCCTGGATGGCACCTGCCTCGGTGTGTGCCGAGGGAGTGGCCAGGCCCCTCCCTGTGCCCACACTATAACTGAGCTGCCGGGGAATCCTAGAAATGGAGTTAGGAAGGAGACAAAAGGGAGACACCCCTGGGTGGGGTAGAGGCACTAGGGGCCTGGACCACACAGACAAAGTGAGGATCGAGAGGAAAACTCGTAAAAGCAGAAAGTAGGGAAAGAAATGGAATAAATAAGAAGAGGGTATTGAAGAAAGGGAGCTTGGAAAAGCTGGGTCCACGGGAAGGGCAGGCTGGGACTGAGGGGAGGGTTATAAACATGGAGAGAATGGAGACTACACCCCTTGACATGGCTGAATTGAGCCCTCCAAAGTTCATGAAAGACAAGTCCATGCAGCCCCAGCCTGGGAGAGAAGGGACAGGTGGCTATAGGAACCCCTTCCTCATTGCTGTGGAGTGAGGGGCCCTGAACATTACCCCTAATGGAGCAAAGCTTGGGGAGGGAGCGCTGAGGGGCACCTGATGCTGCTCCTGGGACTCAGAGTCAGAGAGCTCCTCTTGACGACCCTCGGAAGTGTTCACACACTCCTCACCAGAAAAGGAGGTGAGGGACACAGATTCCAGGAGACCATGCTCCGTTTCCCCTGGTGTCCCCAAAGAGGCTCCAGCCATGCGGTCAGGAGGAAGGTCTAAAGTACGCTGGAAGCCCACAGAGCTGGGGATGAGTAGAAGAACAATACCCCCAGAGCAAGGGCCTGAAGTGAGAGCCACTAACACAAGGACTGGGTCACCCTCGCTTCCCAGTGAGGGGAAAGGAGCAAGGTTGGAGGCCACATGTCACAGCAAGAAGCAAGGACAGGGCTCCAAGGAGCCAGCAGCCAAGGTGGGGACTCCCACAGGGCCAGGGAGAATGCAAACCTGCACTGGAGCAGGAAGCTGGCCTGGCAGGAGTGCCCCAGTGGCAACATGAAGTTCTCATTTGTCCAAGGTTCACAGTGCATTGGTCACCAGGCTAAGCTCTTGGCACATTTTAACCCATTTTATCATCATGCCAATCCTAGGAGGAAATGACTCTTGTTTTTCCCACTTGACAAATGAAGAAACAAACATCAGGGAGACCAAGTTGCTCAAG